CACATCTTGGAGTGGGCCAAGCTTGTGAGTGACTGGTGTCAGTGGGAGAGCCCAGGGCATGACGGGCAGGGATAAGCTGAGGACTTGCAGGGTGGAAGCTGGAACACTGAGGGGGGAGTAGTTGTGGGGTCACCAGGGGCTGTGGAGCATCCTGGGTCAGGGAATGCCCAGCACCAGTGGGGCCAGGAAAGGGGGCATCAGAGCATACCCTGGGTGGAGGGCACCGGACTCCTGGTGCAGCATCAGCCCCACTGATGGCATTGTGATCGCCCCCGCAGCCCAACAGTGCCTGTGTGCTCCTAGAACTTGTGCTGCTCCTCAAGGTGTCCTCTTATTGTTTCCACATCATCATCGTCCAGCTCCTGGACTGATTCAAGCTCCACCACAGCTTCACGCTGGTGATGGAGTGTCCACAGCACTCTCAGGACTTCTACGACATCTGGAGGAGCATGGATTTCTGACAGAGAAGATGGTACAGGGGCTGTTCCACCAGGTGCTGGAGGTCGTGCAGCACTGCACCAGCCACAGGGTTCTGTACTGCAACATTGGGGCTGAGAACATCATCCACTGTCGAGACGAAGCTGATGGACTTTTGTTGTGGCATGCTGTACTCCTGCTTTTCAGGTCAGCTCACACCCAGGGCCTGGCCAGGCCCCAGAGGCTCTCCCTTTTGCTGGTGGTGGTGGTGGGGGAATAATTCTTCAGCTGGTGGCCAACTTGCATTTTTTTTGTTGAGGGTGGGTGGGGATGGATTTTGCGCAACAGGAGGTGGCTGGGACTAGTGTGGGGAGGGAGCCAGTCCAACAAAAACAACCAATCTGTGGAATGTAGCTGAGAGGGGGTTGCAAAACCTATGTGCTGGCCTTTTGTTTGCAGGCGTGGGAGGGCTTGGGAGGCTCTATTCCCCTTTCCTGCCTTGGCCTATGGTATTTTTCATGACCAATGTGGGGCTGACGGGGAGATAAAAGCAGGGTTTTCCCTACTTGTGCATGGGTGCTTTTCTTGCACCTAGTGGTCAGGCCTTCCCAGGGCCCCCTCTGCACTCTTCCAGCAGCAGGGGCTTTCTTTTACCACCCAAAGTTTGTAAACAAGAGTCAGGTGCTTGAGAGAAGGCAGCAGGTCACACTGTGTGCCACCGGTGCAGCCCCCACATCCCCGGGGATGGCCAGGCAAGGGCAGCATCTGCCTGATGAGCTCTGCCTATGTCCTAAAGGAAAAAGGGGTGTACAGCCCACTGGAGTGGATCTTCTACTGCTGCCATGGCCATCAAGCAACAATCCGGTCCCTAGGCATCCTGCTTTACAACAAGGTCTGCAGATTCCATCCCTTCAACACAGATGAGGACATCATCCTGGGCTAGTTCTTTTTCCTGCTGTGGTTGTCTCGAGGTGAGTACCCAGCTTTGCGGAATGGGAGGAATAACAGCGTTGGGAGATTGCAGGTGGTACACAAGCATCCCACTCCTGCAGCTGAGAACGTTGATCTCCCATGGTTAACTGGAGGAAATGGCACACGTCCTGCCATCCTGCTTTCCTCCAAACTAGAGAATCAGCTGGGAGGTCTGGGTGCAGCTCTGAACATACCCAGCGTGTCCTAGGCACTGCAGACCTTGGGAGAGGGTGCACACGAACCACTGACCGCTGCTTTCTGGTTTCTCTCTCCAGAGTGCCAGCACCTCATCAGATGGTGTTTATCCATGCACCCCTCAGATAGGGCATTGTTGGAAGACTTTTTCAACTATTCTTGGCTGTAGGAAGTTCCCCTGCCCCAGGAGATGGCAGAGATCTATTCCTCTACACAGTAGGATCCAGAAGCCTGGCCAGTAAGGGCTTCACACATCTCATGGCATTAAGAAGCCAAGAAAACCAGGCTGTTTCCCTGTGACCAAAGCACAGCTGCTGAGATGCTTCTGATGGTCCTGGGGGAGGTTGAGGAAAAAGTGGCTGTTTTTCATCGTATTTAAGAAGTCATGACAGTCCAGTGAATTTCCCACAAACAGGAAAAGGGGAGACATCCCTTCCAGCAGCCAAGGTATTGAGGTCTGCCTGCAATCTTGGGCACAACTGTGGCATCCTGCAGCATGGCATCAAGCTGGGGACATCATCTTCAACCTGGCCACTGGCAGGGCAAAGCTGCTTGACTTTGGTTGTGGCACCTTCTTTGAGGACACCCTCTATACCCAAATGAAATCAAGATGAGTCCACTCATGGTGTGGGGGGCATGCTCCTGGTCACAGGCATTGCAGGGCCCATCTGGGCCAGACACTGGAGGTTCCCTGCTTTGCTGTGGTGGGGCAGGATTAATTTTTCAGCCAGCTGCCAAGTTGCTTCTCGGCAGAGGAGGATGTGGATGTTGACGAAGTGGAGCTGGCTTCTGGCCTTGCTGACAGCTTCTGCTACTCACCCTGGCACAGGCTGGGGAAGGGGGAGACAGCCCAACAAAAACATCCACCCATGGGGGTAGCAGAGGCGTGAATTCTGAATCTGTGTGCCAGCCAGTTTGCTTTGGAGGCTCTCAAGGAAGGACTGAGGCTGGGGGAGGGAAAGGCAGGGTTTTTCTCCACCCATGGGAAGGTTTATTCCTTGCATGTGGAGGTTGGGCCTTCCCCAGGGCTGTGATAGTGTGTCAACATTTTACATTTTTACTTTTTCTTTTTTCCAGGTTTTGTTTTTAGTTTACTTTCATGCACTTGTTATTTGTTTTTTAAAGGACGATTCTACCTGGTGCCCAGACTTGATTGGGAAGTGCTGAGACTGTCTGCAGAGTCAATCCACTGCCAGTGCTACCCTGGCCATGGTCTGCAGGTACAACCCCTTCAAGGCTGATGAGGACATCATCAGGTAGTAGCTCCTCTTCTGGCAATGTGGCTACCCTGGCTTCACAGCATGGGTGGGATAACAGGTTTTGGAAGATGGCAGTGGGCACACAAGCACCCTCCTCTTGCAGCTAATGAGGAGGTTGATCTCCCATGGTTAGCTGGAGGAGGTGGCACAAGTCCTACCATCCTGCTCTCCAGAACTGAGAACCGATTGGGCGGCTTGGGTGCAGCTCTGAGCACACCCAGTGTGGCCTGGGTGGGACAGGGTGGATAGAAGACTTCTTCAACTGACCATCAGTTTCTGGTTTCTCTCCCAGGGTGCCAGCACCTCATCACATTGAAACAGCCTATGAATCACCAGGTCTGCCAATTTGGGAGGGCATAGGGTGTTTATTTGCTGTCAAAATCATGCATCCTTTTCCAAGCTTTTGATCCCCTTTCTCCAGGGTAATCTTCTTGTGTCCTTACTCACTGCATTTATTGGAGCTGGGAAGGGTTAAGCAATCCAAAAAATGGAATAGCTCCTGTCTCAAACTGCAGCAGCCACTTCAGTGACCCTCAACTGCCACCCAGGCACGTGCTGCATTTCTCTTTACCTTTTTGGTGCTGCTATCTGTCCCCTAACAACCTCCTCACAAAATTTTTCCACCCAGCCCTAACAGCCCTCCACAGACCAAACAAAACCCCACAAGCTCGAGGGAAGGACAAACCATGCCGAGTGTTAAAAATCATGCCCTGGGTAAAACAAAGAATGGTATTCATAGAATCATAGAATCAGCTGGGTTGGAAGGAATCTCCGAGATCATCAAGTCCAACCCTTGATCCACTACTGCCATGGTTACTAGACCATGGCACTAAGTGCCACACTCAGTCTCAAATTATGCCATGTTACAGTTATCTTTAGACCTACTTTCTACTAACTTGTGCCTTTTTGTAGGTGCTAATTCGGTATAACACTCCATGGAAGAGGCACTAACAATTGTCTCTGTCCCCTTGCAAGCATATCTGAAATTATCTGGGCAAGATAATAATTAAACCCAACTAACTTAGACTTTTTTTCTCAACCAAACCCTAATAAATCTAATAATTTATTTAAAAAAAAAACCAACAAAAAATCTTGATTTTTAGAAAGAATGTACTGATGTTTTACCTGTGCTCCAGAAAAAGTTGTGAAGTAGGTTGGTAACTTTGTGTTAGTAACTCCTTATGTGACTGTCACAGTTATGTGACACTGTGCCACAGTTATGGCACAGTTTTCCTTGTGCCATAAAATGTTTAGCTTCAATGGGGTGGTTTAGAGGAAGTGAACAAGAAGATATGCCCCCTACCACATGACATATAAGGTTTTAGCAGTTTTGTACATATCGACACACTGAAACCCTCCAAAGTATCCATTTATCTTCAGAATATATACCATTAAGAACGACTAATCCAGACCCTGAGAGTTTCTACTCAGTAAGTACACAAAAAAAAGCAGAGAGTTAACAGCAATGATCTATGTGATCACCAAACTGTCTCCTATTTAATAAGCAGGGCTAAGTAAATCTGCTACTTACAAGGAGGTGTCTCAAGAGGGAAGGAATGTTATTTTCCAGAAAGCTTCAGTTTTGCACTGTCACGATGTTCTTCGAAAAGCAGCTCTGGTCAAGCAGAGGTACTAACCCTCTGGATTGCAAAGGTCCCAAAACCTGCCTTGCTTTGAGAAATATTCCCAAAGGGTAGCAATTTACTACAGGAAAGCACCTGATACAAGTCTGAAAGAATGACTCCTCTCAGACCAAATGCTGGACTGCTAACCTCAAGAAAAGTTCAACATAGGGACAGTGCCACGCCAAACACTTCAGAATTGCCATCACAGGTGCTACCGATTTCCTACATGTGATGTGCCAGCTTGAACCATGGAAGTTCTAAATAGTATTCGCTGTCCACAGGGAGTAGGTTACGGACAAACCCCACAAGATTCCAGAAAGCACCTCCTTCCTTGTACTGTCCCTCTCTTCCACGGCAGTACTGTCAAGCAGTAGCAGACTAGGTTAAGAAATAAAAAATAAATTCAAACTCACTACTTCTAAGTAAAAAAGACATTTCTTAAGAAAATGGATATCAGATTTTACTATTCCACAAAGATTTTGCTCTGTCCTGTTAGTATCTGGGTATTTAAAAGAAAACACAGAACATCTGGTTTTGGTCAGTAAAGTGTCCATTTAATAAATTCCTTAGCCACATTTCCCACCCCCTTCCTCCCACCATAAAATTTCAATTCACACTTAAGCAGATGACATATAATTTGATGGTGCACAACATAAGCTTTTAAATCTGCACTCTTAATACTAAGAGTATTAGGGGCTATTATTTGACAAAATTACCTAGAACTCAGATGTGCCCATGCAAAAAAAGCAGATTTTTATATACAGTCCCTATTTTTTTCTTACAAATTTAAATATTTTACAAAAATGTATTTTCAAAATGTATAAAGTTTAGTGAATACCCCAAATGTATCTTAAAATAAAATGCTATCTGTTTTCAAAGGCTATTTCAACAATGAAGTCTAAATTGCACCGGATAAAAGGCACTTGTGCTGTGTGATGTCAAGCAAATACATGTTAGTTTTGTAGTACAGTTATACAGTGTCTTCTTGAATTCATGCAGCTGTCTCTGAGCATCAAGCATCATTAAAGCAGCCAAGGGAGATCGTGAGTAAACTTGATTCCACAGTTGTAAAAATATTTTCTATCACTAAGTCAAACATACAGCATTGTGCTCCATCTTTGACTCTAGAATCAAATGCTACTGAAAAATTGCTGTAATTCACATAGGAATTCAAACTACCTTTCTTTCTCTCATAAGTTACAAAAAGTATGTAATTTAATTATGAAACTAAACCATCAGTGAACAGCTCAGTGTTTAAATAGTTTGTGCCAATGAAAGTCTGTATTTATAAACAACCTAGGGGCTAGTTTTCAAGGCGCAGTGCATTGTATTTTCAATTTCCAACTTCACTGTTGAGATAAAAGCGCAGTCCTATTTGCCTTCATCTTCTCCAGCCTTTTCATTAAATGGCTATTGGTCATCTCCATCTCTTCTATCTTATCCAGTGCTGTTCTTAACTATAAAATGAAAACAAAAATTATGATCACTTTAGTTTATTTGGTCTTTCTGCTGTTCTCAAGCTTTGCAAGAGGAAATTAGTCAGGAATACGAGCATTATACACTTTATAAGAGTGCCACAGAAGTTAAGACATAACGGTTTTGTTATTGCAGGCAGATGAACCAGAATTAAACTGTTAAAAATAATTGTGAAGCAACTGAAACATAAAACATGTATTCATTCCAAAAGAACTAGGTGCCTGCAACTTCCCATTAAATGAAAGTAATTTACCTAGAACAAGGTAAAGTCCTCTTTACCATTATTACTTGCATACAGGTATGTATTCCCATAGGTAGCATGCATCACACTGGTCATGCAGCAGCCCTTAAGCAAGCATGATCAACAGCTCAATTAAATACAGCTTCTTTCCAGTATCCTGTGAGGTGCATGCTGGATAATTAACAGGCTGTCACTTGACATAGGGACCATCCATCTCCCCAGTAATTTCTGTAGAAGGATTACTTTAAAATATTACAAGTTATCAGATTCAGAAAAAAATACAACTTAGATCCTTCCTTTCAAGAAAGAACAGCAGTAGTTGAATTGTAGTTAGTATTATTTTTACGTGCTACAGTTGTCTTCTGAATGCAACACAGAGACTTGAAGGTCATCTCAAAAAACACTTAAAAGCTGCAACCAAAGATTACAAAAAAACAAAGCTTGGAGGCAAAAGACATAGCAGTTCGAGACTGAAAGGAGCATACAGCTGAAAAGGAAATCAAGTCAGTTACCTCTCGCTGAAGCTTCCTCTTTTCAGCTTTGAGTTCGTCTTCTACTTTTTCTGCATTTTCTGCTGCATTTTTATACCTTGCAACCTGCCCCTCAAGTCGTCCAATCTGCAAACATAAACAAGACAGGAATGACTACTCAGGCGTTTCACCTGGAGCTCGCCTGCCACCAACTGTTCCTGTCAGGACACAGCTGAGAAGACACAGAAGGTTAAAAAACTAAGCAGAGTTGGAACAAGAAAAATAAAGAATTGGGAAACATGGGGATTAAAAACAAAAGCTGAAAAGTTGAAAGCCAGAAACCATATAAGGAGGTGCAAAGTAGAAAGGAGACTGTGAACTATTATCAGGACACGATAAAAAAAGTCTTGAGCCCAAGCACAAAGTTCAGTAGTAAGGAGGGAGCTCAAGACAAATAGTGATTGCAATCTGGAGGTGTTAAAACCCACTCATTGAATTGTTCTATTTACAGCTCCCTGCTGCCCCCAAATCCACATGACAGGGTAGTAGCCTGCATCTGTGCAAAAGGGAAAAGCTATGCATCTGTGATTCAAATTATGTGATTTTTCGTAATAATCTGGAGTCAATTTCCTAAAATACATAAGTATGGCAGAACATACAGAGGAACTGAAGCTACCAGTTCAAAAAAATCAATTTATGTAACTTAATTACTTGAAAGAAAGTTGTAAATACTATGTAAGGTATACAATTTACTCTCTGAAATTCAAGAGGTTCTTTTCATACATGTGTCTCTCACACTTCATAATTTTAAGTCAATAACATGATATTACAGTTCAGCATCTCTGTAGATTTTCTCTTACAGTTAGACTGCACAAGTATTGAATTGCAGGAACTATAAAAAAATGTAGTGCCCTTCTGTGCAAACTGAAGATCAAACAACAAATCAAATTATGAAATATGTTTTCATAGTTTTTGTTGAAAAAAGTATTGTCAAAGTGTGCAGATTAAGTGTAACAATAACAAACATGAAGAAAGACACACTTACATTTTGTTCCAAAGTAGTTATATCTTGTTCAGCTTTTGAAAGCTTAAATTTGTATTCACTAATTTGTCTGTTGGCATCTCCTAGACAAAAATTGACATGAATATGACAGTCAAAGCAACTCTCTAAACTAGCAGATTCCCTTTTAATTAAAATTCATTAATAAGACCATTTTATTGAGTAGCCTGGAATACAGGATTGCAAAGAGGTAAATGTTCTTTCAGAAATCTTTGAGAGTATGGAAAAGAAATAATCTTCCTGTTACAGAACACAACTGTTTCTGTAAGAGTGTGCACTAAATTTTAGATGTATTGATGAGATACACACCTTTTAGAACACACAGCAAACTCATTCCTTAAAAAAGAGAACACAATAACTAACACACACTGCAAAATGGATCAGACCACAATAGACATAATACCAACAGCATTTACCTTAGACATCTGTAATAATATTCGAATCATAAGGAGCACAAGGCGTGAACCTTAGAGACAAACTCCATGGCTCTTTACAAATTATTTTGGTGTTACATCTGAGCCCTGACATTGCCAGTACTTTGTTCATGTTCATTGACACAAACATATTAAACGACAATCTGTCAAACAAGTCAAGTTTTCAGTTGAAGAAATAGTTTGCTTGAAATGGAAAGTAGCTTAGTGCTTCTATGAAGCAAAACTGAGTATCGCATTAAATAAATTTTCATGTTTTGCTTCAAGACAATAGTCTTCTAGATTAAGTTTCTGTATCAAAGATTCAACAAATAAATTAGGTAGAATTCATTTTAAAAATCCCAGGTGAAATTCTATTGTCTAAAAATTGAAATTATTCGAGTAGTGGCACCCACTCTAGGCAAAGTTATCAACTGAAAAATAACTTCCTAGAATGTAGTTATTCAACACTGAAAGAGGCAGATTTTTAAGCTATTCTGCAGTGAGAAATTCCATGCAAGGACATATACCAACAAAAACCTATCTGCTCAACAATATATTAATTCACAATACTACTACTGCACAACAAAAGGAGTGGAAAGGTCTGTTTCCTCTCTGCAGGAAAAATAACTTTGAACAGTAACCATATACCTACTTTGCAATTCAATTAGCTGCAAGTCAGAACCATTCTCTAAGCCTATGATATCTGGATTCATGCCATCACTTTTAGAATACTTCTGTCGTTCTTCTTCTAACTGCATCTTCAGTTTTCTAACCTGGAAAAGGAAGTGTTCTTATGTGAAAAGGAGACTTCCTGAAGTTCAGTAGTTGTGTATCTAAATGTTCAATGGTAAAAAGGCAAAGCAGTCCTGAGATGCCACTGGCTGAGAAGGTACTGTAAGCAAAAGTAGCAGAGCCATGCAGAAGAGGAAGGGAAGCCAGTCCCTGAGGCCTGTGGCTGCAGCCCTCCATCCCCATCACTGGGGAGTTACCCTCTGCATATCAATGCACAACCCAAACCCAACAGTTTGATCAGTGCTGCCAGGATGTCTGCACAGTGCAGGAGCACCCAGTAACTAACAGGGCTCACTTTTCAGAGGAGTAGATGGCGTTAAACTCTGTTTATGGATTTCTTCTACTGCATATCTTTTCCATTCTAAATATGCATGAAAATCTTGAACAATATCTTGGTGAGTTTACAGAGACAATAATCCACCGCTTTTTTTGGAGATCCTCTCTCATACTCCACCTGGAAACAGTGGTCCTAGGCAAGTCTGTAGCGCACATTAGTTTTAAACAGTTCCATTTCATGCTACAGCAGCTGTCTTGTGATTTTTCCACTAGTCAGGGAACACAGATTTCTCAGCTATGTCCACTCTGTACTGAGTTTATTAAAGAAGGGGGAACTACCTTTTTGACACTCTCATAAAAATATTGCCCTACAGATTTAGCAGTATGGAAGTTATACTTGCAAAACTCTCATTCATGATACAAATCAAATACATGATCAGTGATTTTTACTATTATACAGTGAAAAATATACACATACATATTTATGTACTTATATTTAATACTATAATTTATTGACATTCCAAACCAAGCATCTATACTATAATTAAGGTACATTAATTGCAAAAACAAATGTTCACAACACAAGTTTAAATTTGCAATGTCTTCAACTAGAAGCACCAACACTATGGTATTCTTAACAATTGCTCAATGTCAACATATTTTCTTGAGCCCTCTCTTTTCAATACTGTACTGTATTAAAGTACAACTACTTTGATAATATGAATTTTCGATCTGAGTAACTAAAATGATCAATGAAATAGTATCACTTAGCGATTTTGAAGAAAGTGCCACTTGAGCTTACGACAATGTAATTTTACTGACTTTAGTATTTCCACATAAGACAAAAGAGCTTTAAGCACATGCACTAATAGTAGAGTCAGCAGCAAGTTAGATTTCAGCTAACAGTTACCGAAACGAGGTTTCTTTAACAACCAAGATCAAAGTCATATGGATAAGGACACTAATGAGAGGAGCTGCTAATTCCTGGTAGCCAATGAGGTAAGAAGTTGAGTATTTTATTTTGCTTTAGTGCCTACGTATTTGATTAAGCACTTCTGGTGCTTAATATGTGTTTATTACTAATACATTATTAGTCTGCAAAAGGATACACAAAAGGCTATTTTTGAAATGAATAGCTTATTTTACCTGGGACAATAATTCCTCCTTTTCTCCAGCCAGTTTTCGTAGCCTGATATCTAAAAACCAAAGAACCCGATTAAAAATCAGAAAAACCTGAGAATAAGAACATGTTTTTCAAAACTTTTTGTTCTATTTCAAATAAAATGCTCTTCAAAGCTAATAGCCCTGGGACCATAAAACTTTGATATCTCACTAATAACACACTAACCTTCAATTAGTAAAAGTGGAAAAATATTTCATTCACACTGTGTATTAGTATAACAATTCTAAAAGCAAGACCTCTGGGTTTAGTAAATCTTCAAAGTAAATTAAAAACTGAGGATATTTTTTAATACTAAAAATAATACTAAAATATATTGTCCTGATATCTAGAGCAGCCATTTCCAACAACAGTTTCTTCTGATTTTATACTCTTTTTCCTGTCTCATTCAGAGGTTGCTGTCTCTTCAGAGAAGCCACTAAGCTCCCCCATATGTTTAGAAAGTTTGTAAAAAGTGTTCTCAAATCATGAAAAAATTACTTGGGAAAGGACCCAAGGGAATGAGGGAATATCTCTAATTAGAAGATCAGTAATGCCTACAAAACAGTCTGTCAAGCAACACCATGCTAAGATTAGAGCAGCTCCCTTAGAAATTATAACTTTGACAGAAACAAAGCATAACGACATTTGTATTTCCCTATGAGGAGCCAGAGCAGAAATATGTATCAAGTCTAATTTCTGTCAATACAAAAATATGTAACCATTATCTATTATGCACAAATATATTCGAAGTATATAGAGATGTTCCTTCACATGTTAACAGAGTATTACAGTGGATTGACTATGCATACAACAACTTGTTCAACCTAAGGATAAAAGCAAGTTAAAGTAATTACCCCCCCCCAATATGTACCTTTTTGTTGTCCCTGTCATTTTTTGAATGTTTTTAAAACTTCTTTTTCTAATGAATGTGATGGAAGACTGCACTTGCTGTTCTTTCATTGATTATACACAGTTCTGAAGAATTATCTTTATGAAACACAATGGAAAATATACTAATACAAAAGACTACACTTTTAGGCAAGATGTTTTCTGAGAGTAATAAACCAGAAACTGGACCAAGAGAACTAATCCATTTCAAACATACAAATGCCTATTATTTTTTCTTTCTCAAAATATAACATCTATCTTTTTACTCAGTGTAAGCAAAAAACTAAAATAAATCAATCTTCAAAGTTGTGTAAGTATGTATTACAGAAGCATCACAGGTATCTTTCTGCAGCTGTAAATCACACACAGAGTGAACAGAAGGGAAACAAAGACCTCTAACACTCCATAAAGTATGTCAGGATATTTTTACCCAGTGGTCCTTCTCCTGCAGATTCCAGGACTTGAGCAGCTTCTTGTGATACAACTGTTATTGCACCAACCACCGATTCATGGTTTACATCACCATTTGGTGTGCCATCTGGAATTATAACTAATCCATGTTTCTAAAAATACAAAAGAAAGAAAAAAACCTACTCATGCAAGAAAAATGATAAAATATAAATCAACAGAAAAGTTTTTTAAGAGCTTTTAAAGTTAATTGAAACAGCTACAATGAAATCAACCACTTACTCTACCCTAAGGTCAGGTTTTCAGACTCCACAAGAATAGTAACCATTCTTCCTCTTTTTCACTGACCTTGATTTCATGCTCTATTCTTGGATTTGTTACTGTAAAGTAACTACTACCAACATACCTCTCCTCTCTTCATTGTTTCCTTCAGGTCAGCCAACTCCTCTCTGAGCTCATCTCGCTCATTCTTAATGCAGTCAAAGTAATCTTTCTGTCTTTCTAGGGCCTGGGCTCAGGCAGATAGCAAGAAAAAGAATGGCACAGAGAAAAAGCATATGACAGACAGTAGAGAGATTTTCTACAAGTAAATACAAAGAGCTCCATAAAAGTGAAGAAATTAAAACGGTTTTTAAAATATATATTAATATATATCTCTGAAAACTGCTTATTTAGCATATTTAGCTTCATGCTGCATTTGTCTTCTTTTTTTTTTTTCAGGCAAGTCTTAATAGATTCTATAAGAGATTTTTATCTAGTGAAATCTACTTTTGGTAAATTTTTATAAACTAAATTGAATACCAAAAAAGTAAGTAATTCTTCTTGATACAGGCACTCTGTGGCCAGAAATAAAAATTTCTGACACTCAAGAGAAAAAGATCCTAAAACATTCCATCTATTGAACTAATTTCTTTACCTTTTATAGGGTCCAGAAGTAGACACCGTACATCATAAAAGACTTTGGATTTATCCACGTACAAATACTAGCCTATTTACTAGTTGCTTAAGGGTTAAAACCACTCTTTACTAAAACTAAAGCACTTGGTTTTAGAGAAAAAATGGCAGCAAACTCTAGTATCGCTATTTTAGCACAAAAAAGTATGGCAGTTAAAAGTGCAGTATGGATGTAGGTAGGTTTGCCTACCTATGCTGCAGCTGTGTTACCTGGCAGTTAATCGGACACTTTCACTTGACTGGGTAACATTGCAGTGTTCTATTCAAATTCAATACTACCTGCATTACAAATAATCCTCATCATACAGCAACTGCAAAAGCATACACACAGTTTGCCAAGAAAATTATTCCACTAAACCTTATGTTATGCGTGAACGTTTAGGAATGGACTGATACCAAGAAAGAAATGAAGGTGTATACTTTTGTACTGTAATGCATAACTGCAGTATGCTGAATTCTAATAATCATCTAGAATCTGTATACTAGAGAAATTTTTCAATGCATTACTCAATTTCAACAGAAAATTTTGAAAAAGTGCTGATGCACTTGGTTTATTATCATGTAAATTTAACATTTAAAATACAGAATTCAACATGTGTGAAAACATTAGCTGTCACATCTTAGTTTAAGAATTCGTAAGATGTTCTATTATTTCCTAATACACTCTAGATCTCTAACTACATCACAAATAGTGTGAAGAACCTTAATCATGACATCATTTTGAGTTCCACTTAAAAAATACATACATCTTTGTTATTTTCAAAAATTAGTGGCATAGACACAGGGGAAAGTAAGCTCACCCGCTTGAGAGAATGGACACAGAGGCCCAGAATCACATTACAGACACAGATCCTGTGTCCTTGACAGTGTCCTGTGATGATGCTGACCTTCCCAAAAAATGTTTCAAACCTCACCCCCTAATGCACAGGTGTTGGAAATTGGAAAATTCTGATGGGGAAGGAAGTGAAACTGACATCACTATACATCTCTACTGTATGGAGAACTTAATAATCATTATTCAGTGTTGGAAAACTTTAGTAAAAATCCTAGTGTTTGTATGCTCAAGGGTTAATGTAATATGACACGGATTTTGTAAGAAATCTACTTTTGCCATTCCTCTATTGGGCAGGGGATAAAAATCGAACAACTAAGCTCTATGGGCATGTTTTAACATACCAGTGTGAGTAAAATCATGTGGCAGAAAGCAGATTTGTCTGGGGTCTTATTTTCTGAATTTTCCAAAAATCTCCATGAAATCTATACCAAACTCAAGAATTGCCATTACTAATTTCAAATTGGAAATACTTGTACAATTTGGACCCACCAAACAGTAAAATAGCTGTATATTTCAGGAAAATAATCTGAAGCTATAGTCCAGTGTCCTCAAACTGATCTAATTTAAGATCAAATACAACTGCAAATTTCAAACACTGTAGAAACAGGACAACATAAGAAGGCAGGTGTAAAAGCAACTCATGCTATCTTTGTTCTGTTTGCCTCCCTTTCTTTCTCTGAGACAGCAAAAGTTTTGCATACATTGTAAAACTACATTACAATTCTAGTTATAAACTACATTGTGAAGCTTCTCAGAGATCTCTGAAGCTGGAATAGAGTAAAAATTAGCACAACTGCTCCATAGCAGGGAGAAAGACTCAAAAACTGAGCTATGAAAAGTATGTCAAGGTTTACAGATGTGGGAAAGAGAAGAGCAATGTTTTTACATTTGCATAACTTAGAGATTTCAATCCTGAGATAGTTAAAAAAAAAAGTAGTCGGTAACTATATTTTGAACATTACATATGCTCTCTACTAATTCTGGTAATGTATTTGAAAGAGCACAAAAATATTGTATAAATTGAGACAGTCCGGTATACAAATGTGAAAAGTAAGTATGGGAAAAATATGGTAAATTTAAGATAAAAAAGCTTTCAGAAGAATGTCCAGAAAAACTTAAGAATGTTGAAATTTTTTAATGATGGAAAAGAATATCGCAATATGGATTGAAAGACTGAAATATGAAATAAATATAAGACAGTATAGCAGGGTGCTTGTGAACTGGGCACCGTGAGTTAAAAGATAACTTTTCAAAAGGACTTGAACTCCAGCAAATAAAACAATTTTCAAAAAAATCTGCATATATTGAAATCTGGTGTAAAATTCAGTTAGAGAGAAATGACCCTGGAGTTGCTAAGATGCAGATAATTTCTTTCTAGAGGCTTTCCAATTAACTCCCCGTCGCCTCCAGGCAATCTACTTGTGGCCCAGAGAAGCCAGGAGTTCAGAGCCATGTAGTTATCACCAAGGATCAGACTGACTCAGACAGTTCTGTGACTTCTGTGCTGCCCAGAAGCAAAGCTGACAAACCCTGCCTGACCTACATTAGCTGCACAGTGAGTATCAGCGTAGTTCTTCCTGTACCACCTTCCTTCCTATACAGAAACCCTACAGATGATCCTCAAAAGCTCCTGCACAACTATTGTTTAGATTCCAACTCTTAATTCCAATAGTTGGTACCTCTGGCATTTAGTGTATGGTATCACAAAACTGGCTTGATTCAGTGTTGCATCCAAGCCTAACAGTTCTGGAAGGATCAGAAGTGCAATACAGGAATGCGCAAGTTGGCTACAGAAGTCAACTCAAGATCATATTTTTTAGCACTAGGCACGCCATTAAATATTTTGTAAAAAATTATAAAATTGTACGTGCAACAGTTTATCTTATAGATTTAATTACCATTATTCATCATCATGCAAGTAAAGATGAAGTATAGCCAACTTTCTAAAGATGAGAAAGACTGCAAAACATTTTATACATTTAAATTGGGAGTGGCCTTAATTTCTTTGGAGCGCACAGCATTCCTCGGGGTGCAGGGGGCATCCATCTACTTCTAAATTAAAAAAAATACCTTTCCTCCCATATTTGATTCATACCCCTATTTTTTTATCTTTCCAATTAATTGTCTCCTGGAGATCAAACACCTCTTTGGTTATGGAGTCTATATTCTCCTGCATACGTTGGTTCTCCTGCAGTAAATAGGATGAGGGAAGAACAAAAGAGGAAAGAGAAGTAAGGAAATGGGAAAAAAAACAAACATTCAAATAGATAAAGGAAATTAAGTAATAAAAGTCAACCAAAGAGTTTATGGGCATGAATTTACAGAAACAGTATGCAGTTTAACGTAATATATTTCTTATGAATTCATGCAAGAGAATGGTAATTAATTTTATTCAATCAGTGTTGATGGGAGAATCTAATGCAGCTAGAGCTACTTTTCTTTAGTAATTGTCCCCACTGCAGTCTGGGGATAACATCCTTTCTATTGAAATACAATTACCCTGGTTGTAATTTCTAAACATCTTCAAGTCCCCTTTGGAAGTGAAAACTAATATTAACAAGTGGTTTTATTAATGTTTTACAAAATAAAAAAAATCTTCTTGAAAGTATAGAGAGTTTGAATTAAGCATCCAGGAAGCAAAAGACAGCTGCTTATACTGCTTTCTGATACTATATGAATACATATCGAGCGTGGTCCAATTTTTTTTAGCTGACTATCACTGTATTTTGCTGCTTGTCCTGCAAACGTAACTAGAATTCTTAGGTGTGATGTCATAAGAATTTCTAGGGCTAGAGACCATTGTTTTCTCTCTTAACGAGTGAACTTGATTATACATCTGGGAATGGAAGGCAATGTCTTTCTGCAAAAAGCTACACGGTTTCAGCTAGATTTTCTGTTAGTGTTGATAGATGGAGAAATTGCTCAAATAAGTGGTAAATATGGGTCAAATCTTTGAAGAGACTGAATGCATTTGTGAATATTCAACACATGCTACATTCTACCAAAGCAAACATTCCAGGTAAACCTACTGCATATTCTTGATTAGTATACTTAAAACCCACCAAAACATAACAAAAACCCAAACAAGATCATATAAACTTAATTTTTAATTCTCAGTGAAGTCAAAGATAATCTAGAGCAGGTAACAAAGCTACAACCCGAATTTTCTATGGTTTTTTTGCTTGTCAGCATTTATGTGACTCAAAATGCTGATAACTTAGGCTAATCTTATTCCTTTTCTTCTTCTAGTAAATCATATCAGCTCCAGTTCATGATGCATATTACTTTCAAAACAGAACTGGGACGTTTCAGAAGTCTTTTGGAGTTACTGTACTCCAGAGAGCACAAGAACATAGTGAGGAAATAAAGGATCAGTGAAATATTACATAACTTTTGAAAATCAGATAGTGGAAACTTTGGCCCATACACTTAAAAACCATCAATTTTTATTAAAATCAAAGGGCAGTGGGAAAATGATGTACTAACTGAACTACAACTTTCAATGTTTTTACTAAAATCATTGGGAAATGGACACCCACAAACTCTTGACTATACATATATAGATATGTATATACATGTATGACTATACATGTATGTTTTTGTGGACCATTTTAAAATGAAAGACTGATAATAAGTCTGGGATTTTAGGGATTTGTTCCCAGAAGGGCAAAAGGGAAAAAGAACAGGGTGAGAGGGGAAAAGAACATACCGCACACCCAGCAACATGGTTATGACCCAATAACATGCTGACCAGTGTTGCTATATTTATGTTTCCCTAGTAAGCAAACAAGCAGTCAATACTGCAAACTGCAGTGGCTGATGTTCACAAAAATCTGAAATAACTGAAATGGAAACTTTTGGGAAAGGCAAAGAATAACATTTGGTATTATCCACGCATCAGAACTTCTAGATATGGAAAAAGATTTTGGCCATACAAACACTAGTTCTGTCCTCAGAACAAAGAAAGATACTAGGAACATTCATGAGAGAACCACAACTCGCACAAGAATTAAGCATGTTACAAGATGTAACATATTTGAAAACCTTGCAGAGACATCTTCAACTTTATAAATTTAGGGAGATTAGTAGCTTAAATTCTACCCACTAAAACAAGATAAATTCTTTCTTAAAAATGCAAGATAGTATTCAATCCTGTTTTGTATATGACGGCTGTTCCCATTCAAAGCTTACACCATATTTATTTGCATAAGTTCTATCATACACTATCTCATATGAACATACCTCTATCAGTTCATCTCTCTGTCGAAGGCCCTCTTTTAGTTCATCCAGCTTATGCTGCAGAACATTGCAGGTGTGTTTCTGTCTTTCCAATTCCTATATTAAATAAATAAATTATTTATACTTCTTTTGAGTTAAGTAAGAAATATGCAACAATTTGAGAAATTCTACCTACCTAGGTGTTAAAAAAATATCACTGAATCAGTGTTTCAGGTAAGTTCTCCAGATATGACATGGAAGATTTTATTTCATTAAATGTAGAGGAGAGAGAAAAGATGCTATAAAGGCTTAAGCGTGATATTAACAAGAAAAGCTAATTTGAAAGTTTTCAACTGTTCTTACTAAGTAGTCCAGAATTCTATCATTTATAATTAGAAAAAAAAATACCTTTGACTTCTCTTCATTCTCCCTATAGAACTCTGCTATCTGTTCTTCTTTTTCCTCAATAACGTCCTTTAAAGTATCCACTTGGTAAACCAAGTTGTTTTTCTCATTGTCTAGTTGAGCATTGGAAACCATAGCTTTCTTGTACTTCTCTTCTACTTCAGCTAGCGAATCCTATAGATAGCAGAAAGGTTTATATTAGTCTAACTTTTTGATACAGTTATAATGTTAAAATATTCCCTTTAGATATATCAAGTCACAGTTCAATTTCCATTATTCAAGTTAGGTCATACATAGCAATGAAAAGTTATCATTACAAAAGCATGAAAAATATAAGATAATATTCACTGGCATTTTCTATTCTGCCACCTTCACAACTTAACTCACAGGGATACAGTAGTAGTATGACAGCTTTATAATATTTTCAAGGCATGCAGGAGAAAACACTTCAGAATGAGGCAAAAAAACTGACAGAGAGAACTCAGACAATTAAATCACTACAAGAGATCACAAAAATATTTCCAAGAGTAGCTTTAACTTAATGCTCATTATTTAAGTAGTGCTCTATTACCTTAGAGTCAAAGTTTTAAGATAGTCACATTATTTCAGTAATAAGGATTCTCTGTTTAAGCAGATATTTTGTCTTTATATTTCTTACTAAGATTAAAAAAATAAAAGGCATGTAAAGATTCACATGTTTGATTCTCTACCTGAAGGTGCACATATGTCTTGCTGTATACCCTCTTACACAATTCTCTCCCATTTAACATTTTATCCTATTTTTAATTATCCTACTGGTTTTTTTTTCAGTACTGTAACAAATGTCAACCATTTAACTACTTAGAACAAATATCACTCCAGGCACTTTTACACATGCAATTATTTCAATAAGCATTATATGGGGGTTGAGACTAGATGATCTTCTAGGTCTATTCCAACCCCTTCATGGTCTATGATTGTATGATTTTAAAAATATAAAATTGATTTTCACAGAGTCCTAATTTTAGAATTGAAAAAGAACCACCAAGCCAATCACTTTACGAAGTACATCTGTGACCTACTACAAATCTCCTATTATTTCATGTAATCTGTTCCTTGAAGGTATAAGTAGCACAATCTCCATTTTTAATTATTTGTATTATGACAGTAGAAATACTAGCACAGGAAGGGCATGAAGCTTGGGTTTTCCAGAAAACAGAGCACTAGGACTAAGATATTAAGGGAGAAGGTAGTAACAACCTAAGTTTCTTAAGTAAACACTGAAGAGTGCTATCTCTTATACAGTAAAGTTATGCAAACATTTTTGTTGCAGAATTATATTCATGTCTTCTTTTAGAAATACCAAGTCACGGTTCAATATTCTGCTATAAGAAATGCAAAAATACCCCTATCCCCAAACCCTATTCCATGTTGTAAATCTCCATTTTGACAAAGCTGTCCTGTAAGTATGTATTTTACCTTTTATAATTTTATCATAATCACAGGTATTTTATACCTTTCTATTTCATTCACTGAATTCCAGAATTTTCTGCTGGAGAAATACAGTTTTTCAGAAACCCCAGAAGCAGTAACTTAAGATATATCTAGACAGACCACAGATCAGAAGAGACAAAACAGTTTAAGTTGTGAAAAATACAAGAAAGGTACCATTATCATCTGGGAAGCAATAAATAGCAAACAGCAAAGATGAGTCAGGATAAAAGGAAAAAAAGAAAATAATACACGTAAATGCATTTCAAGTAATTCTTAAGATTAAACCCAGAGAAAACATTTTTTGTGGTGCTGTAAGTGTGACCAGTTATGTAAAGATAGGCAAAAAAAAATGCTAGAGACAGCAAACCTTCCAAAGACTTTAAAGAATAATCCACTTTAGAGGAAAAAGAGAAAAATACTAGGATTATAATGAATGCTATAGTAATTTTATGGGGAGACATGAAATTTAACAAAAAAATACAACTAGGAAAAAAAATCTGATTTGATTGTTTCTGTGAATGTGGTAATTGGGGTCACGTAGTATTTTAGGTTGGCAAAGATCTCTGAATGCCATCTGGTCCAATCTCCTAACTAAACAGGGCCAACCAAGATCACGCTGCTCACACCTCATCTCCAGTTCATTTTAAGTATCTTCAGGGATCTAGACCACAGAATCTTGTTGGGTGACCTGTGCCAGGGTTTGCCTTCCTTGTGTAAAGTCTTTTTCTTGAGCTCTAATTGGAATTTCTGCTCTTAACAATGCAACTTTTGTCTGTTGCATATTTCCCTTAGAAAGGTGTCTGCCCTGTATTCTCTATAGCCTCCTATAAGATACACTGAAAATGACTGGCATGCATCTGTATACTGCCAACCAACCCTCCAAAGGTCAAAGGCCATTGTCTCAGCCTCTTACTGTATGCCACATGCTCCAGGACTCCAGCCCTAAAGAGAAGATTAGGCTGGGGCTTAAAACATGGGACTAAAATGTCAGTAATCAATAAATTAATTTGGGGGAGGAAAGGGTGTGGAATCTGCAGTTATGGAAGAGGAATAAATTGATTTGGAGACTAATAAGTGAAAACTGCTTCTGAGAGAGAAACTAAGCTATGTCTAAGAGTCTCTGATAGTTAAAAAAAAGCGGAACATTGCAAAGACTTCTTTGGAATTGTTTCTTCTTTTCAAGTTAAGTATTACACATGCTTCCCGTGGTTCAAGAATTCCACATAATTTCAGAAGTCTTCCAGTTTGATGAAAAATAATATGGATTTTAAATAATTTCTGAAACACTTTAAGGAGGTAGTGGGACTTCTAAGGATGAAGCAGTGGGAACAGGCCAGAATGAAAATGGATAAGGCTCTGCATATAACCTAAGGCTATGAAGAAATACCACCCACAATTCTATCAGTAAAGTCAAAAGACTATAAAAATTAGCCTGCTTGGCTAGAACAAGATCATTCAATGCCACAGACATCAAGAGAGTGCACTGTTAACAGCATAAAAGAAAAATTTTGAGGAAGGAAAAAGGATTCCTTTCTAGTTGATGCAAAGAAATATAGAAAAGACCAACAAAACTGAATGAAACTGAGACATGAAAAGATTTGAAGACCTAACTAAATCAGAACTACCCACAATAGAGTTTATTCTGTTGACATCCAGCATATTTGTAGGTAAAGCTCACACTTTTAGCAGCATGACGGATGGGCAACCAGAGAGATCAGAAGGTAGTGTGATTAAAAATACCTGTTACTCAACCACTGAAAACAATCCCCTTAAAAGCAGTGTAAATGGAGGTATGGTAGTACCTCTTCTAAAATACACAAGACAAGACTGCTAAAGCACAAGTTGAGGAAAAGGCAATACCTTCCTAATCAAAAAGAAGGGTTCCTGAAAGAATCTCTATGGAATGCAAATTAACTTAGGAACACATTATTTAGTATTAGCAACAGCACAAAACGCAATTCAATTCTGAAAGCCAAGCTTAGATGAAGATCTTACTGTTTATTGCACATTTTGCTCTTTGGTAACTGTAATGGATTACAATAAATAACAATGCATCAGCAATGATTCAGAACAGTACTCATGAGATGCTAGCAAACATGCAAAAGCATGAGAGTTAGATCCACTCCAAAAATATGAAGTAATCTCACATTACATTCAATCATAGCTATGTCTAATAATCTTGTAATCTATTGTGCTTTGAAGTATTTTTAACATTCATATGGCAATATAATTAAAATAAAACATACTTCATCTGAGCATATGGCTATCAGATTCAAAGTTACTTATCCTCTAGAGAGGTAATAATTTTTGCTACGCTGAACAGCTCAAATTACATATTTTCTCTTTACAACACCATCTAATACACTGTTTAATCAAAGAAATTCAAGGAAGCTGCTAAATACTGTTATATGCTCTAGTACAAGAAGCATCCATTAAATTTAGTCTATATGCGGATATAAAACAAATATGGAAAGATCTCTTTACTTTTATGTGAAACCATTCACAATTAGATAACGGGAAAGAGAACAGAACAAATATCCTGAAAGAGATTTTTAAGCCACATCATTTGCTGTATTCAGTTTTCTTCAACACAGAGCAGGTGAAAATAATCATACTTTAATTTAGCTACACTGTTAACTGTGTGAAAACTCAAAAAAGAAAAGCATACACACTAGTACGAACGAGTCAAAATACAGATAAATCTCATGTGGGGGACTACACTTAGTGCAGGTAGCTTGGTGTGTGGCTGCAGTGCAAGCTGCAGGTTGAGTCCTGCATGAGGGAAAGAGCTGGACCTCCCAGCAACGAGCACAACAAAGGGCACAAGCACCTGTGGCATCAGCACAGGCATAGACTGTGACAGCTGCCCAGGGATTGCTTGGTTCAGGGTCCCTCCTCGAAGGCACCCAGCTAGAGCTGGTTTTGCGTTGCTGCACCATGATAAAACTACTTAAAGGAACTAGACATCTGGGACTCTGCTATTGGAAACCTGGGGCTGAGCTGGTAAGGAAACCCTGTCTGACAGTGACACTGGTGTGTGAGGGGAGTCAGTGGAGCCACCAGCTGAGAAGGGGCTTCGGTCCCACCAGGGAAAGTCTCAGGTGATGGGAGTGTGATTGCCAGAGTGGTACCTGGATGGTCAGACAGGAAACTTTCCTTAACATTCGTTAACCTAATGTTGAAAAAATCAACCTACTATTTAGACAAGCATAATGGTAACACAAAACCATAAACATAAAAAAAAAAATTTCTTAATGGCAAAAGATTAAAACAAAATTAATCTTCTCTTGCAAGCAATACGCCTGCCCAAATTGATTTCAGCACATCTGTCAAAATTATTACTTTGGCTTTGCTTTATAAGACATAGTATTTCCTGAAACTTGGAATACTAATTCTTATGTTCTTTGCCATAACTATCTCCCATTTTTTTGTTCTCCATTCAATACCAAGTCATTATTTAGAACAACTATTTATTTGCTAAGAAAACTCTAAAAAATACAAATTGAACCTCTCATAGTCTTACCAGGAAATACCCATATACAAATAAACATTAAAGTTTAATACTCTTTTAACATTAATCAAATAATGAACATATACCACCTCATGTACATTTTTAAGCTGATGCTATATATGCATTAAAAGTTAGATACATGCTTTAAGGAAATTTAAAAATTTGTTAGTAAAGCCACTATATGTTAGCAAAACCAGTGATAACTCCACTACCCAAAAACACCCATACAGAATGCATGCCTGGGAGGAGCCCTGATACCTTTAGTTCTTTAAGTCCCTGCATGTATCTCCCTTCTACATCGTGTATCTGGTCCTTAAGATCATAGATATCCTGCAGGACATAGGAACGAACCATTGCATAAGAAGTATGGGGAAATAATTAATAGTCAAAAAAGCATTAAAAGGTTTAACATTCTCTTCTGTCAAATGACAAAGCCTGAAATAATTCCCAGAAATTATAATTAATTCACAACAACTTCATGGAAATTAAGATTTTGTTTATATCCCCGAATCCAAGACATCTCGAATAGGACAGAACTGTTTGAAATTTGACATAAACATAGTTTTATCTTAATATAAGCTAAACTGTTAGCACCATAAAGACTTATGAACACAACAAATAAAATTACCAAGATAAAGAAATCCCTCATGATTGAAAATTATATCCTCATAACTTTTTATTATTACAGAAGTTCTGTATTAAAAAAAAAAAATCCTGCTATTTAAAACTACCTCCAAATTATCTGAAAATGCAATTTACCCGTAATTCACTGAGGGAGGCATCAGGATCCACCAAAATGCTTCCATCTCCACTTCCTCTTCTAGACGAGTTGCCACTCAGAGGAGTTACACTTATTGAATTGCGAGATGAGGGCTTAAAAAGGAAAAAAACATTGTATCAGTAATCATATGCTTGTAGCTGGTACTATTGCCATTACTCTTTATAAATTTCTTCACAGTCATGGAACAGTTTTCTCTCTTGTTTTTCTAAACATTAGTTTATAGACAGTGTTTTCCATAATTATTTTCCAACACTTGTGTTTCTTCTTGGTGAAATGCTGATTTCTCCTTGATGACTTACTAGTTTATCAGAACATTAGAATTTTGAGTCATCTGTCCAGAAGACACTCATAAGGTGGCTGTTAGTTACTGTGGAAGTTTACAATATTACTAAACATTATAATTTCTGTCAACAAGGATTCAAAAGGAAGTCTCCAGTGAGAATCTAGCATATGGATTTTTATAGCCTCAGCCTCTTAAAATTTTGCCTTTCCTAATAAATATCTCTAACACAAAAATAAATTGCATAGAAAATTATTACTGGCTGTAAGTAAACTAAACAACAAAATTTTTTCCTCAGGAAATAAAAGACACAAAGCATTAATTTTGAGAGATAAAAAAATTATGTCTAAAAATATCTCTGCTAAAAAATACACAGCATTTATACTTTTTGAACTATTTTAAAAATTATAAACTTGTGGGTGAACAATGACTTTAAATAATTTTTAAATTAAGATCTCTTACCCTTGAAAATATTTCTGAATGTGATTTTTCACTCTTTTCTTCCAGCTGAAAGAGAATAGAGAATGTGATTACCTTTTGCTATGAGGGACTACTGAATCAGCATCTTTTGTTCAAAGACACTGAGAAATATTTAAAACCAAAAAACTAAACAATTCCAGATATTAGCATAGATCAAGACAGGAAAAACAGTATTAACTGCAAAATAAATTAATGCTTGTAAAGAAAAAACCAGAAGCTCCTTTTTAAAAGTTTTTTAAAAGTCATTACTGGTACTGACCAAAAACCATGTTTAAATTTCAACAGAGTAGTGACTACGACACTTGGTGACAGAACAAACACAAAGCTTCATGCAAGTACACTTCAGGCAGTCAGTGACAGCAGTGTGAATGTCCTAGTTAACAGAAAACACATTTGTTCTTTCCATCTCTTTGGTAAAACCTGCAATTGCATCAGGGCAAAACTGAATCAGGTAAAAGCCCATAACTAAAGTGTACTAATTAATAGCAACCTACAAAATAATTTCAATTAATATTTTATGTATTGAAGCCTAAGCAAAAGAACTACAACACCCCCTTCTTATTCAGGAAACTCTGCTATTGCAAAATTATATTGTAGATTTCAACATTTTCTACATTTCTATGAATCAAAATAGGTGGAATTAGACATGTTTCCATATTTTCAAAACAAGTATTTAGTATGGTATCCGAAACATCTTGCTTCTCTGAGAACACCTAGGCCAGGGACAAGAGATTTTGAAGTCCATTGCAATCCCAGCAGAAACAAATGCTACTTTATAAGACCTTTCTTTTTCCTTCTATTGTGGTTTCTATAGAAGAAACATTGCTTTTTGAGGACAAATTCACCATCTCCAATGATGTACTGAAATTGTAAATTGCAAAATTTGTCACCACTGAGATGATAAAATGATGTGAAGAATCCAATTGATCTGAAGTATACGTTTAGATTAATCTAAGTAAATATCTAAATCTGGAATCCAATAACACATAATGATGATGATAAAAGCAACTGAGAAGGTAGCATAAATACATGTCTCAGCCTCCACATTTTCTTTCAGCAGAGCGCTAATTTCATAAAATCAACTTTATTATGGAAAAAACCCCTAAAGTTTAAGCTAGAGAAACGATCTGTCTTTGAGGATGTACAGATGACAAATCATGTGCATTATTACAAGTTAGATAGCACTGTAACAGTATTAAAATATCATCTAAATGCAAAGTCACAGAAAGAGTTGTTGCAGGAGTACTCCAGCTGTCAGCCTCCCATTCAAAGCAGAATCCAAGTCAGCTTTGTCTTTAATCTAGCGAAGTCTCACCAGTCTTGTTGTAACCCACCAGAGTGCAACACTAATCTAATTGTGGAGCTTCTTGCAGTGTCTAGTCCGAACTGACAAACTGCAGTGTAAGGCTGCTGGCCCTTGTTTCACTGCTTGGTAAGGGTATGAAGACTTTGGCTCTCACCTTAGCAAGCACTTGCATGCTGCTGATCACCACACAGCATTCCATCTGCTCAACTAAATAAGCACAGTATTCGCAACCTCTCTGCCTAGTGCATGGGCTAACTCTGACCATTATTTCAAAAGACAAAAGATCAGAAATTTCCTTTTTTCCCCACACTATTAAAGAGAAAAGTTTTGACTGCAAGTAACAAGAACTTTTAGAACTTACAGCAGCAAGAAAGAGAAGGCAGCTAGGTTTGGTATAAACAATGTTCAGGCTAAGGCATGCACAGGAAAACCATCACGATAATTTTCCTGTAACATGATCTATTGACTTGGGATGGAGTACAAGTGCATAGCCAACAAGGAGTGCTTCAGTAATGGATCCTGACAAGATCTCATACTGGATGAATGAACACTGTGGGAACAGTTTTAAGTACTTTTGTCACTCAAACAAGTAATAATATTCCAAAAGTAAACAACTCCCCCCCCCCCAGCACTGTTAATTTTCATAAGAAAAAACCCGAACATTTTACATTTTAAGAAATTCTTGAGCTTATCACACACAGAAGAAAATGTGAAGTGTTACACTTGTCACATGCTTCTAGCAACAAGCAACATCTCCTTTAAAGTAAAGCAGCATGCTTTTAAAAAAATTCACTCAAGACATTTTCATACAAAAAACAGGCCCAACCCCCCAATAAACCTATTTTCAATGAAGTAACTCTGAATGCTTTTACAGTATTTACTCTTTCAGAGTATGAAAAAAAAAATCCATAGTCAGTAAGTTTGCTGCATTCCCCACAGTGTAACAACAAGCATTACACTCACACTATTCAGGCCTTGGCCATCATCTGTATCAGAAACAATGCTTCCCCTGCGGTTGGAACGACTAAAATAGTCAGCAGCAGTTTCACTTTGATCAGAAAAATCAGAGGACTTTAAAAGATAAGCAGAAGGGTGAAAGACAACTGAAGATGACACCATAGAATGAACAAAAAAAACCCCAAATAGAAAGTCCTAACTTAAATCTTTGTTATTGCAATTTATTCTTGCTTTTCTAACAGTTTAACATCTGTAGAATTTTAATTATTCTTCAAGATTTTTGCTATTTTAAATGAATAAAAAGTGTGCCACATTGATATATTTTATTTGTGCCATATTGATATATTTAGCATAGGCATTGTTTTTAAGCACTCTTCACATTTGTTATTCTTAATAGTTCACCGAATCTAAAACTAGAAACAATGAACACTTATTATTGCATTATTTTTCTCAATTAGAGTAATAAAAAAAAAATACAATCAGATACAAAAGGGTTTAGTACTAATTTAGGGCCAAACACAAATACAAAAATTACCTTTTAAAAAAGTTTGCAGATCATAAAGACAGATAATACAATCAGAAGTTGATAAATAAAAATTCTTATTTTTCTCTACAAATACTGTCTTTTTTTCAAATCAACACAAACCCAACAGTGCTAGTTGAATATGAATATGATCTGGGCTTCCTCTCATTCATAATTTTAAGACATCTTACATTAGAAGACAAGCTTATTCCCCAAAGATGAATGTCAGACAGCCACCTAAAAAGGTGAGGAAAAAAATGCCAATGCTACACATCAATTGTTAAAAAGGGCAAAATATATCTAATCACATTACAATAATTACAACTGCCACGGGAATTCAAGTGAATTATTCAACTGAGAAACATTACGCACATTAAACACAGTATTTAATGAGAAGAGTAGGTTTATTATAAGTGTATTGATAATCTTCTTCAAAAGACAGAAAGTTACAGTGAACATTATATTTAGTTTTAAAAGTGATTATAAGAGAGAAAAATCTTTATATGAACAGTTTGAAAATACTGTCCTTATCCAATTCTCACTGTTGAAAAAAATTATTTCTTTGTACTTGATGTACATGTAGCCTCATTCCAATTAAAAGACAGTGAGGTGTCTTCTGTGCAAATGTATATAGATATTACATGTATAACAGGTATACCTAAAACAGTTTGCTGATGAACCCCTGGCTCCTTATGCAAGTTTAGGGCTACAGAATTTGTATTTGTTGCCACTGCTGTTATGTTCTATTTCTCTGGCAATGAACTTCCAGCTGTAACTACATCTACACTTAAAATAATATCTTTATTTTTTAAAATGTAACAAAGTAGATAAATTTTCATAGTTGGAAATTTGGCTAAACTTTCTTATTTCACTTGCATTTCACAAAGTATAAATGTGCTGAACAGAATTCTTCATATATGTATTATAATTACAGCAAAAGAACAACAATTCGGGCTACAATATATAACAACACTGTGCTATTTCATTCAAAATTCACTTATCTGTCCTGTTAAAAAGTTTGTATATCTGACAAACCTCGCTGTTCCTCCTTCTACACCTTTTGTACTTCTAATATTCTTCTCAATCGGTTTATCAAAACCGATACATTCTAAGATGGAGTTTCTCACCAGTGCTTTCTGTTTCCATCTTCTCTGCTGCTTGCTCTTTTGATTCCCAAAGAGTACTAAGCTGACTCTAAACGCATTATCCAGAGTGCAACCAAAACACAAACCACAGAAATAGCAGAAAGTGAATGTGTAATTATTCCTAAGATTTTTACCTCATCTGCTTTGCAAGATTATTTCATTAAACAAATACTGTGAACTCTATTAAGCATTCACTTGTATGAGTGAATGGTACCTTGGCATTATTGGTACAACACATGCATAATGAGATCTGATTATATATATTCCTATATATCTATAAAGTGTGTACTTCAAAAAATGAATCTCAGTGTTAAGAAAAACTAAGGAGACTAGTAGTATTTTCTCAGTTCAAGAGACTACAAATGGATGTTAATACCTCTTAGGTTTTGGAACTTCATAAAGCAACAGCAAAAATACCTTTTTCCTTCACCCTCAAAAATTCACTCTGACATCTGTGGCAGCTAAAAACATTCATTTCTGAAAAATCTGGTTTTATTTTTTTAGTATCTGTAACACTGTTAATATGTGAAAGATTAAAAAAGGACTGAACATTTCAATTTAGCCCAGACCAGAATGCTGATTCTACTTTTTATTCTGGATAGCATGACAAATGAGCAGCTGCACCAATGAAACTAAGACAGTTGTTCGGTGGCAGAAGCAAAGTAAAACTATTTAAAATCACTTTGCAGCACAATACCCCAACTTTGGAAGGACACTTTTAATACAATAAAGATCCGGAAATTAATTTCTCTCAATTTTGAATCCCGGTCACCATAAAAATGAGCAAGCTACTTCTTACTGCATAATATAACAAAGTTTGCATTAGTCCTCTTCCCAAGAGACTTTTCCACATGTATTGAAGTAAGTTTCATGTGCTTGCCCCAACTATGACATAGGGTGGCACCCCCGACAATGTACTATACTTCAGTTACCAGTTGCTTCCAATTATATAGATTACAAAAATTTAAAAGATGTTTAAAATACCAAATTCCTTCTTCCTTTTACAGCTTACAGTCCTACTGCTAAAACTTTACATCTTGCTAAAAATCACACCTCTGTCTGACAAATTAAATTTCTTTGATGTGGAATTGAAAAATCAAGTCTGTGCGTTGGTCAGTAAAACAATCCCAGTGTACAGACTCATAACTGTTGGTTAGTATCAAAGCATTCAGCCAATCATGCAAGAGGAATGCTCACCACAGGACTACTTCGGACTGAGCTTGCTCTTGAGGAATAACTGTATTCAGATGGCTAAAGAAAAGTCATGAAGGACATTTTCACAATTTTCATAGATTTTTGTCTACAGAAAACAAAGATAATGAAAGAAACAACCAAAAGCCTATTACACTTAAGAGTGTAAGAACTATATGAGTTCCATCACCACACAATGTGGCCTGAGAAAGAGGGAATGAAATACCATTTATATCCAGTCTCAGAAATTATCATGCCATACTCATACACTGTAATTCTTATGCACTGTCACATAATTCATCTTATCTAATCCAGTTATTATCATACTTTTTGAAAGGATAAACAAATTTTAAAGATTTTCAGCAGCATTTACTATTGCTACTAGGGATGTCTATTTTGAAATATAGATCTAAGAACTCCCTTGAAAACTAGTCAAATAGTTTTAAAAAGTCAGATCTTAACTATCTGCATAATAAAACAAAGGAAAATAAAATACTTAAATTGCAAATTGGTTTTAATGGTTCTGAAGCCTTCAGAAGTTTTAACACACCCTGGGAACTGAAGCTATGCTGTACACTTATAAGTTTTATTTTATGCTCACCCATGCAGGTTTTCCTGAAGGAGAGTGTTTAAAGGTGCAAGGCTGAAATCAATTAATGCAGTGGACAATAAAAACAGTTCTGTATAACACAATTTAAAAAGAAAAAAATTTACAGTTTCATGCTGCTTTGCTCCTACCTATGAAGAGATCTCTAGCAGCAAATAGAATTACATGTATAATCAAAACTATATGTAATAGCAGTCACTATGGTCTTGTTCTCTCACTGAATCTTCTAATGTTTTCTCGAGAATATGCACAAAGCCAAAAAAAGTAAATTATCTATTTGCAATCAAAATGCAGAACAAGACCTCACTAACTACTTAAAAATACTTCATAAGAATACTTGACAATATTTTACATAGGTTTAGCATGTCTCTAAATGGAGTATAATTTGGATTTGAACTACTGTGGCAGCAAAAGACAAAGTTTCAGGCATGCATGCCACTTTTAAAGATAACCTTTTGTAGAGCTATCTTAGCTATTCTTATGGCACTTCTAGCTACTTTATATTTTGTAGAGATGCAGATTGGGTTTTCACGCTATTGCATTTTTGTATGTTTATTAAATTTAAATAAGGCATCCTATTTAAAGGTATTCAAAGTGTATTTATCACAAATTTCAATAATCTCCTGACAATGACTTTTCCTATTCAAATGCTTAACTTCTTCAAATACTTCTTTAATATTATACATGCGGTTGTTATTTAGTATGCTTGGATTAACTATTACTAACCCTAGTGTTCTTCAACATCATTGCTGCATTCAGAAACATTATGCTTCTCTGTAAAAAGAACAGTAACACAGCAACTACTAAAATACTTTAAAAACTGATACTTCTTAAGAAACCAATGCTTAAAGAAGGAGACACCTATGAAGAAAAGTGTGATTTTATATTTCTGTGGGCCATTGAAACACATAAAGAAAAGTGAAATATGATTTTACATTGTACTAACCCTGTAACTCCTAGTTGGTGCCACTGGATAACTGTACAGAGCAGACGACTATAGCATGAAGAATAGAAAAAGTCAGAAACACTTTTTCTGTGTACATAATTTTTTTAAATCTATTACTCTATATTCCCTAAAAGTTCTAAAGATTTAAATACTAACTTTTATATCTATAA